AATGTTTTCGTGTCATATACACTTTAAAAAACATCAATATTGGATTATTTAGAAGATTAGATTGCATTCATCCTGAATTTTACAAGTTACTCTAAAAAMGCTGTGGAATTACACATACCTTTTATATCCATCAGAATATTTTGTGCTTACATATTATAAATTGAGGCAAAAGGTCATTGAATATTTGTGGGGAATCAATATCACCCATCTTCAATTTAGGGTTGAAACTCAGAGAACTTGTGACCCTGTATGAGTGGGTTAAAGGGGTGCTTAATGGTTGAAGCGAGATTTTTTTGGGCCATAGACCCTTTGCAGCACTTTGGAATGCAGGTAAATTTAATTTGGAGGGGCAAACCCATTTGGGGGGGGGATATACCAATCAATACAAAAATCATGGAACTTAAGGGCCAACAAGGTTGATGTAAGGTTCATCAACAACAAAGCTAAGAAGGTGTAATAATTGAAGTATGCTGCATTACAGTCCAAAGTAAAGAAACAGTTTCCTGAGTACAAGGTAACCCAACACTATGTCATTATTGATATCAGCCAAGAAGTGATTTTTGAAGGAGAAATAAAACGATGATTATCAGAAGTAATTTAGTTATCAAGCAAAATGTTAGCAGTCAGGGACCGGTTGTACAAAGGGTGGTATTATAGCGCCATCAGATGGATAAATCTTAATCCAGTTGATAAATTTATTTGATAACAGCATCGACTTATCCATTGGATAGGGATTTATATACCACGCTGGATAGCACTATCCAGGCTTCGTAGAACCGGGCCCAGTGCTTTATGGCACACTGAACATTGCAAGGTCTTTCAAAATCATTGGTATTTGAACAATAATATTAGATATATTACACAACCTGCTTTTTAGATTGAGGACAAGGACTTGATAGAATCATTATAAGATTATTATCAGTTTACTTATTAATTTTATTCCTTTTCTTTTAGAGTGAAGGTTTTTAACCCATGAAATAAAAAATACTAGTCAATGTGTAATAGTCAAATACTTCAGAAACAAAAGAATTAAAACAATGGAATTAGGGGCTACTAAAGTATATTAATCAATATCTATTTCACTCTGTTTGTTTATCTATTTTTTCCCTCTTCCTTATATACCATTTTTGTAGATTTGTTTTTTTACAATAACTTACAAATTTCTCGCGCRCTGATTGGTTATTTTTTATCATCGATAAGAGGACAGAGAGATAAAGCTGACGTCAACCAGCGCGAGCTCTTTCCGTTGGTTGTCTTGATCACTAAAAATGAGAACTTTTATTGTTTTCGTTATTGTAAAAAACAAATTGACATCAGATTTTTATGTGTCTGTCCTCTTATTGACAATAAATTTCGCCATCACATTGTCAAAGTAGTATGCGGATCCACTCGGCTACGCCTCATGGATCCACACTACTTTGACAATGTGATTACGCAATTTATTGTCAATAAGAGGACAGACACATAAAAATCTGATGTCAATTTGTTAAACATATTATAATTTTATATTTTCTAATATAATGGTATATATTTTGTAGGGGGGGGGGGGGACAAGTAAGACATGCATATACAGTTGAAGTAGAAAATATAGAACAAACTCAATGGTGCTCATATTTACTTTGGTGAACAAGATTAAAAACTGTCTTAATAATAATAATAATAATAATAATAATAAATTCTTATATAGCTCACTAAACTGACGTCTCAGTGCGCTAGGTGACATAAAATGAAAAAATTATATATGTCTTCACTTGTGAAATAATGAATAGCAGAGATGTAAACTTTGATTCTGACACTAGGGCTGTGGTCAAGTGGATGGGTGAAAGATCTAACTCTGGGAGCTGTACTCTTGCCCGTTTAGGGTAAGGATGTGCCGCTGAGCCCCCTGGACCCTGACCCTGTTCCAGAGTAAAAATCGCTGAAATTCATACCCTGTTCCAGAGCAAGATCACTGAAAACCCTGTTCCAGAGAGGAGAGAGCGTGATTTCATATACCCTGTTCCAGAGCGAGCGTGATTTTATATACCCTGTTCCAGAGAAGAATCTCTGAAAATCATACCCTGTTTGGCGGAATAGCGAATATAGGAGAGTTGTAGGAAAATTGTAGGAAAATGTGTGTTTTCAGGTATTACTGTTATTTGGTCCTAAAAGATTTCTATGCCAACAAAGATAACTTCAATTGACACTTTTAAATGAAATCTAAAAACTCATTTATTCAAAAAATACTTTAATATTTAATATTAATATCTCATACCTATAACAATTTTAACTTTTACTTTTATTGATAGATGA